TATATTTTGGGTGGGGTGGGGGAGATAGGAGGTGGTGGTGGAAGAGAAATTGCGTGTTCCGATTTTTATTTTTTTTCTTTCTGGGTCATGCCTTTGGCATCTCTCCTTTTTCGCTCGTTTTCTTTCAATGGTACAAAGCTGCTTCAGCTGGCAGCAGAAGCGTCTGATCCGCGCACGGAAATGTGGTAATCTAGAGGCGCTGGCTATTGCAACCCATTGAAGAAATTCGGCTGGGGACGTTTGTTTAGCTTGGTTTTGACGAAGAGGCAAAAGGCGGCAGCAGCAGCAGCAGGGAAAGTAATTAAATACACTTCGGAGCACGTGGATGCTAAATCTATTTCCCAGTCATGGACAGGGACCGGATTACAGGTGAGTGAGTGGCTGGGATAGTTTGGCTGTGGCTATGTAGACGTGGTGCCTCCTCTGCCTTTCTCCCCCATTCACCCCTTCCTGTGGTTTGGGCTGTGTTGGAAAAATCTCAGCACAACCCTTGTGGCATTTCGGCAGTCCCGGATGACCTTGGTTTAGCTCTACTCTCCTTCCCCCTCCTGAATGGTCTCACTGAGTCCCACCACGGGTCAAAGTGTTGGGCTTCTCGATCCCGTTGGTGCTTCCTTCAATTTTTGGCTCCCCCCACCCCCTTCTGCCAGAGAAAGGAATGGCCCTTCTGGAAGTCTCTTTGCCTGGACTTTGACAGTTTTGGGGGTGGGGGGAAAGGTTGGTGGGACTTGGGAGTGGGAGGAGTGGGAAAGGCTACCCCAGCTGGTGGCTCAAGGATGGTTTTATGTCCTGGAAGTTGGCTGCTTGCTTTGTTTGCCTGTGTGTTGTGGTTTAGCTCTGGCTTTCATGCCAAAACTTGTGTGAAAGGCAGAAGCTCTCCCGCCTACTCCTTTGTCCTCCGGAGATGTTTATATGGCTACAGGGAGGATTGGCTGATAAACAAGAGGGGTATGGTTGCTAGGGGAGAGTATCCTGGATATATGCATGTTCCCTAGGTAGGAAACATTATACTAGAAGGTTGCTGCTCTTGGGCCCTGTATTTCATCATCAAGTATATTTGACAGGGTGCTTTTCTGCTAATGGCCTATGCCTGAGAAACCACCATTCTCCACAGAGGTCCACTTGCTCAAGACAAGGTGTAAATTGATTGCTAAGTAAAAGAAGAGGCTCACAATAGGCCCACTGTGTACCTGTCACCACTGTAGACACAATAACCAGCTATTGACTCTCCCTTAGAGCCTTGGAGCTACTTTGTTCATTATTTTTCAGCCCTGGACTGATGGCAGGTTTATGAGACATCTGTTTTTGCAATACTTTTAGCGGTTGGTATCTTTGAAAGAATCGCTGAGCTGGTCTCTTGAGGTCTTAAAAATACCTTACCTGTAAACAACAGAGTTAATGGATGGAATTCAGGTGACACAGCAGATAACAGCAGAGATATGTTGTCACTCGCGTCTTATTATTTCCCTGAATTCACCAAGTAGCCTTAGGTGCGATTCCTCCTGTTCTTACAACTCTATCTAGAGAATAGAATTTGGGACTGTAATCAATATTCAACATGGCTGAGCCCATATCAGGGTCCATGCCTCAAGGGAGAGTCTGCTGCTGGTCCCTCAGTCATTAAACAACACAACCATTGTGGGAGGGTGGGAAACAACAGTAGGAGAGTTGGACTAGCAAGAAAATAAGCCAGAAATGGATAGAATAGCCTTGAATTCTGCCACTTAATGGTGTTGAGGAAAGCTCCTGTTCTGTTCTTCTAGATGATGAAGTTACAGTGATTGTAATCAACCTACCTTTGAGATATATTCGACAGCAGGGCAGGCAAGTGTCTCCCTCAAATTTTCAAAACCCGTCTTTCTCCCTGGCATGGGTGAAACACTAGTTGGGAAGTCATTCAGCTCTCCTGGGCGTTGCTAACTTTGTTGTATATTCACACTGGAAGCAAAACCACATGTTCTAGAGGAAACCACCAAGCAAGGGTGGAGTGCAACAGTGGCAAAGGAAAAGTGAACCCAGTGCTGGTTTAATCTGGGCTCTGGAAGAAGAAAAGTTTGAATTGCACATTTACAGTGGCTCTAACAGCAGCCTTATTGCTTAAGGGAACACTACTTCTATTTCTGATTTAGGCAGCAGTAAATACATCCAATAAACCTCTTCCATTCTTCAATGTTTAATATGTGTTGGACTGCAACTCCCAAAATTCCCAGCTAGCATATCAGACTAAGGAAAAAAAAACCCTAAATTGATTAGCTACCATCCTACTTTAATCTTTCTCCCTCTTTCAAAGTACTAGGGAGAATTAAGTAGTCCTATGTGGCAAATATGTCTCAAATAAATAGCCTTATTTGTTTTTTTTTTCTGTATGCTTTTATCTCCAGGAAGGGATTATAGGTCCTCTTCCACCAATTTGCAAAAATGTACAATTGTACAAACTACTGTATAAATAAAGCTGTAACCATGAATGTTTCATCATTAGCAATAGCACTTAGACTTATATACATACCACTTTAGAGCTCTCTCTAAGCAGTTTACAATGTTAGCCTATTGCCCCCAACAATCTGAGCCCTCATTTTACTGACCTTGGAAGGATGGAAGGATGAGTTAACCTTGAGCCCTTCACAATTGAATTCATGGAGTGAGCAGTGAGTTAGCCCTGTAGTATTGCATTCTAACCACTGCGCCACCACAGCTCTTCATTATGATCCAAAAGGACCAGAAAAGCAATTTGATGAGATCTGTATCAAGGGAAAATGGCAGATATGGGGTCAGTTAATTACTGGTTTTCTGTTGAAATGCACTCTGCAAAAGGGAACTGCAATAGATAGCATTTGTTTGTGTGACCTTCAATGACTGGTGCCTGCTTTAATTTTTAAGTGCCTTTGTGTTGATCAGATTCCACTGAATAGCATAGCATAGAACAGAACAGAATACCTTTATTGTCATTGCATTCCACAAATACAATGAAATTTGAAAGCTACTCCAGCACAGTGCCCCAAAAACCACATCACAATCACAGTACAGATATTATAACAATAATAATAACAACCTAGTGTAAAACCTATTTAAAACATTTACTGAGTTAAAGTTGAAAAATGCCACTATATACATAGGATTAAATCACAAATGCATTGTTTGATTCAAGACAATTATTGCCTTGGAAAAGAAACTGTTTCTCAGTCTATTAGTCATTTTAAGACACCTATAACGTTTCCCTGATGGTAACAGTTCAAAATATGAATGACCAGGATGAGAACAATAGTGCAGATGTTTTTATTCCTAACTATCCACTCCATGTTTGGAAAATACCTTGAAAATAAGAACCATTGTCAGCCATAGCTGCCCTCCCAAAAAATCAAGGTACTGAACTTGGAGCTGTTTGCTATCCTTTCATTAGTTCTTACTCTGGATGATCATTTGAGAGGGAGAGTTATTAAGCTGAGCACCTCCTAGCAGGAACCCTATTAGTATTCTACTACATGTGTGTCTGTCAGGACTGAATCATGGATGGGATAAACAAGGAATGAGGAGATATGGAATGAGTCAGTAATCAGTAATCTTTAGTAATCTAAAGAATATAAATTAGCAATAGCAGACAAGATAGGAAGTCTGAACTAGGACTAGTGACAAATCAGGAGGTCTCAATAATGAATCAGCTTTGGTGCTAAAAATATACTTCAGAACAGAAGGAGCATACACACTTTAAAGCAAAAACCTCTTCCCTCAGGATCACATGACAGTTGCATTAGGTACCAGAGCAAATCTGGGAAAAAGATGTGGCTAATTTAATTGTTGCCTCATTTTCTTTAAGGCACATGCCAAAGCACCTATTTAGAATTATGTCCTACCTATACAGTCCTGCGAATCAGTAGCGCTAATGAAAGAGTAGTCAAAGTATAGGAACGCTTCAGAGTTTAGGATATTACATAATTATTTGACCTAATTTATATTAAAACGAATTTTTTTTTCTGTACAATAGAATCTGATGACTTAACTGGATAGCCAGAATCAGTCCAGGAAAGGCACAGAAATATTTCACCAAAAAGTTCAGTTCACTGGTTTACCACACAAAGGAACTGTATAAATGATGCACCAGCTCATTGTTCTGTGACAGTAAACCTCAAAGACCTTGTGAAATATTTAACAAATCCTGAAGCCTTCATCCACTCATTCTTTTTGCTTAGAGTTAGATGAACACTCAAGGTGGCTAACTGAAGTTAATGTAATACAAATTGAAATAAATGCTATTAATAGTGGGGTCAAATAATTATTAAAATCTTCCTGAACAAGATATTTACAGACTTTTGAAATGCTTAGAGAATTTGTCCTCTAATGCTTTTCTTAGCCAGGAAAAAAGACTACTGTCTGCTAATGCCAGACCAGTGACCTTTGACAGCAGAAGCATCTTCAAAAGCGTATCCCCTTAATTACTGGGTAGATCCATATCAGGAGTTAATTGAACAGGCTGCTCAATAAAGAAGTATTTCAGTCCAGTCATCATGAGATTCTTTTAATATGTTAGCAAGTTGAAGCTGTAGAAATAGAGTGTTTATGCAATTGCATCTCATGTGCCCATTGCCATGTCTGGATTTTGAAACTTTGGGCATGATAACTCATGCTCTTTTCAATATTTCACTTCACTCTACATGGGGTGAATACTCTACATGTCCCTGAAGACCTTGACATCATAGAGAAGCTTCAACTGGCACAAGTAGTCTTTATGGTTATAGGTAAGGTAAAGGTTCCCCCGCACATGTATGCTAGCCATTTCTGGCTCTAGGGGCCGGTGCTCATCTCCGTTTCTACGCTGAAGAGCCAGCGCTGTCCGAAGACGTCTCCATGGTCATGTGGCTGGCATGACTAAATGCCAAAGGTGTACAGAGCAGTTACCTTCCCACCAAAGTGGTCCCTATTTACTACTTGTATTTTTTATGTGCTTTAGAACTGCTAGGTTGGCAGAAGCTGGGACAAGTAATGGGCGCTTACTCCGTTATGTGGTGCTAGGGATTCAAACCATATGGTTATGGATAGATCCAAAATTTCTCAGGTAACATGCCACTTTGAGAACTACATTGGTTGCCACCTAGGCTTTAGAGTGCTGTCACCTCTAAAGCTCTGTGGCTTAGGACATGTATGTATGTATGTATGTATGTATGTATGTATGTATGTATTTGTATGTATTTGTATGTACGGATATTTATATGTATGGTATTCAGCTTTGTTTGGGTATTTTCCCATGTCATTATAGTTGTGCTTTTAAAGTTGTAGCAACATTTCAGCAGAATCTCATCTGCCATCATCAGGCTTCAATACAGAAGCCCAATACAGAAGCCTGATGATGGCAGATGAGATTCTGCTGAAACGTTGCTACAACTTTAAAAACACAACTATAATGATGTGGGAAAATACCCAAACAAAGCTGAATACCATACATACATACATACATACATACATACATACATACATACATACATACACCTAGACCTACATACACACACACACATATCTGTATCTATATCTATATATCTATATCTATATATCTATATCTATATATCTCTATCTCTATCTCTATATCTATATATATTCTTAAGTTTTAGCGAGTACTTACATGTATGATATTCAGCTTTGTTCGGGTATTTTCCCATGTCATTGTAGTTGTGCTTTTAATATTGTAGCAACGTTTCAGCAGAATCTCATCTGCCATCATCAGGCTTCTGTATTGTGTTCATCTGTATTCGTCTGTATATATATTATCTTCTCTATATTAAAACTGACCACCCGTGGAAGAGAGGGTTTGCTGAGGGTCTCTTTAGGAAAATGCCATTCTACAGGGATCTGGGGAGGAAGCCTACTTGGTGATGGCCTTCCATTTATGGAACCGCTTACTTCTGAATATCTAGTCCTCTTTACATTATTAAGCTTTCAAAGGATTGTAAAGACTTGACTCTTCAGGAATGATTTTGGAGATGTGAAGATTTAGTTTACCCAGTGAGTGAAATTGTCATGGTAGATTGCTTGATGTTTCATATGTTAAATATTTTAATGCTATAATTTAGTATTTTGTACCCATAAATAATTTTGTACAATTTCACACTCCAGATTTTTTTTTACAAGTTAACCTCATATAGAGCATATTGCAGTCAGGATGTATCCAAGACATTGATCATTGTCACAAAATATTCATTTGGGAAGGGTCACAGTTGGCACACAAGCCTCTATTATTTTACTCAATTTGTATAGCCACCCATGTCAAACCAGTGACTGAGTGATGAACAATCATAAATCAAAGCAATAAAGCAAATACAATACAAAAAAAGAAATTAAATATAAATAGCAGCCAAGAGCAGGGGTGGGATTCTACAGGATTGCACCTATTTGCTAGAACCGGTTGTTAACATTCTAAGCAGTTCGGAGAACCAGTTGTTAGAAGAAATTACTGGCGTAATCCTGTAAGGAAGGCAGGAAGGAAACATTCTGGTGTTGCTTACAGAAACTGCCTCTCCGTTAACCCTTATTACATTCTTGGCAGGACTAGACTTCCTGTCTCAGGAACATCTGGAGTTTTTTCCCCCTCCCTTGCTGGTACTTTGCTTGTGTGGAGTGACCATTCAAAGTTACAATGGCACTAAAAAAGTGACTTATGACCGTTTTTCACACTTACGACTGCTGCAGCATCCCCACAGTCATGAGAGGCCAGGCAAGGAGATGCATGCCTTCATGTGAGTGATGTTGAGTTGGCCACGCTCAGCCAGTCACATGACCACCAAGTCATACCCACCAACTAAGCCATGCCCACAGAACCGGTTGTTAAAAAATTTGAATCCCACCCCTGGCCGAGAGATATTATAATCCATCGATCTCAACAGAGCTGGAATACTCTCTCTACAACTTCCACTCGCAAATCCAGTATTATCTGAAAATCAAGGAACTCCCAGTTTGTAAACTTGCTCTTTTCAGGGAAGTGCAGACTTGTGCAACTGGTACACAAGCACAAACTTGCAAAAGAGAGATTCAGTGTCTCTCTATTTCATTTAGTATGGTTATCTGAGACTATGATGTAGTTTGGGATATTGACATATAGAAAACAGTGTCCGCTCCATGGCCGTTTTGGTTTTTCCACTCTTCAATGAGAGAAATAATAAGTGACCAAAGTGAATTGCAAATGAAGTGTAACCTTGCTGGCTATAAGATGGCTGAGGTGTGGGCAATTTGGCTCCATCCAAATTGTAATCTTGTATTGTGACGCCTTATCATAGGTGTGCTCTGATTCTTAAGAGTAAACCAGTGCAGATTGAAGTGAATATCAGAGAGGTGTCATGACACATTACAAACCTTTCTGGGAAAAATAAGACTGTTGTTTCTTTAATCTGTCCTGTTCTACAAGCACAATTTTGACATGTTAGATCTTAGCTGAAAGTCTAGGCATCCCTAGGTTAGGAGTCTTTCTTGACATTTCTATACCAAAGCTTAGCTATAAATGCCTGGATTAAATATATCTACATGAGCCTAGCCAATCCTGGTTCTTCCCCGAAGTCCATCATTCTCAATATGCTGTTTAGGGGTGATGGGACTAATTTTATCACACTGGTATGCTGAGGACCAGGTCAGTAGCTTTTCATTGCAATTATTCTCCAAGATTTCACACAGGTGTTTCCTGCTCTGTCTAAAGATAGCAATAGCACTTAGATTTATATACTACTTCATGATGCTTTACTGCCCTCTCTGGGCAGTTTACAAATGTTAGCATATTGCCCCCAACTATCTGGGTCCTCTTTTTACTGACCTTGGAAGGATGAAAGACTGAGTCAACCTTGAGCCTGTCAGGATCAAACTCCTAGCTGTGGGCAGCGTTAGCCTGCAATATTGTCTTCTAACCACTGCACCACAATGGCACACCTTCCTCTACCACATATTTTAGTACTGGGTTTCACTCATTCCATACTTGGATTGTGGCTTACAACAAAGTATCCTTGGGTAATTTAACAGAATAACAAAGTTGGAAGGGACCTTGGAGGTCTTCTAGTCCAGCCCTCTGCTCAAGCAGGAAACCCTTACTATATATAATTTCTTTGGAAGTTTGCATGATCCCCTGTTTTAGTTCTCTTGAGAGAATGCCCTAAAAATCACTGGAGAGGCACTTTCATTTTATATGCTTTGCTATTCCATTTGCTTTTTTAAAGACGGTATGACAGTTTGGGATGGTAAGCTTGGAAAGGACAAAACCAAATCAGAAGCAAACCAGAGGTTTGGGTTTGTTTGGCCTCCCTGTGATATTTCAGATATGTTCAGGGGGACAATTTAAGGCACGTGGTATGCTACAGAGCTACTGTGATGTATTTTTTACTTTCTCATTTTCAAACTCTGCCTCTCTGGGTCTAAACCACTTCAAAGCATTTCTCAGAACCACTCCTGAGTCATACAATGGAGTAAGCATGTCCTGTCTACACCAGGGTTGCCGGAGAGCCTTTATTTTAAAGATTTTACCACTATTCCCCAATGGCATGGCTCTGAAGAACCTAATGGCTATTTACCTATTTTCATAAGAACCACAGACTCTCTAGGGCCTGAGAAGTGGTGCAACAGAGTGACTAAAACATTGGCTAAAATATTGGGCTTGGAATCTTAGAACTTTTAGAATTTAATACTGGATACTCTTCTATGATGTAAAGAACTTGTAATGATTGCAGGCTACTGCATGCCAGGTTTTTTTTGAATTCAGAAATATTAATGTTAATTATACAATTGGGGGTTTATTTAATAAGCAGTGGTTTAGTACAAGCCACTAAAATAACTTGCAGCACCTTTGCCAACAACTCTCTAGTTCTCCTCAGAACTCTCTCCTATGAAGAGATCTTGTGTGAAAGTTGAGCTGTCTGGCTTTGCCCCCTGACCTCTATGGTTTCAGAAGAATCTATGGAAGTAATTCTTAATGCCTATTCAGCTCTGCAGGGGTATATCCATTTGATGTTGATCTTAAACATGGAGAATTGCACCTTCTGTAGAACAGTCTCTGTATCCAGACAGCTGTATTTGCACTGAATGGATGGATGGAAATTGGAACATAGGATTCCTGGGAAAAATCTGGTTCCTGGAATTCAATTTACAAGTGGAATTAATGTGTCTACTTCTGATTGTGTGAACCATTCTGAAAATTCAAGTGTACTGTTATATTGCAATTTCAAAGTGTTTTAATCTTGAGAAAATGCTTTTCCCTCTCGCCCTGCCCTGTGCTTTGTAGAAAAACACAGATAAAGCATTACATGTTAAAGGGTTTATGGTTCATCAAGTTTTGCCTGTTCCTTATTTGTGATATTATAGGTTCTTAGTGCTTGTGAATTGCTTTTCTGTAAAAGCACATCATTTGTGGTAAAGTATAGGCTGATTCATCAAGACTTTTTAAAAATATGGCAGGACACGATTGCATTATGCCTTGCAGCTAGATGTGGTTGATGACCCATAATTCAGTTGCATAGATGAGATAATCTAATGACCATTTCATTGAGCATGATATTAGCTCTGAGAACATTTCAGTCTACATTTTCGAACTAAAAGGGTTGCGTGAAAATATTTTGCTTAGTGAAAATGATGCTTAGATTTTCAAAAAAGAAATTTCTAGTAACATTAAATAATCCCATGTAATTGCAATTTATGTGCCATTTAAGAGTCCTCCTTCTTCCTATGATCCTCCTTCTTCCTATGCAAAGCTAAAAAATAGCTATGACAAGACTTGAAGAGAGCAATGCTGTTGCTGGGAATATAAAAGTGCTCTGAATGCTTTGTGTGGGAAAATATCAGCATTTTGGAAAAAATCAGGCTTTCATCCATTGAGACTTGGATTTCCATCATCCCTCAATATACTACATATTCCACCTGATTTTAGGAACAAGCATGCTAACACCAACCCAAATATATTCTTTATTTTCAAGAATGACCCTGAGCTTGGCAGATATCTGCAAATGCTTCTGTAGAAAAAGATCAGACTCCCGTGGTAGACCACAGATATACTAACTTCCAATTTCTCACTAAGAAGTCCTACAGGACTCGGTTATGGCCCTTTCCTACCATCGGAATGAAGTTTTGTTTACTCACTCTTGTGTCAACAGAAAAATATACTGGTGAGCCTCATTGCTG